TAATTGTATATAGTCATGCCCAGCCTAATTGGTGATGAATTGATCATACACTAATAAAAAATAAGAACTTTTTTTGTTTAAATATATTGGGAATCAAACACAACACTTACTGTCCACTGCCCAACCCCCCACACCACTAGACTAGTCCTAGGGCTCTTTGACCAATTGAGGTTTTTTGTGATTTTAATTTATCAATTTAGTATTTGGTTCAAGGTATTTACGAATGAGGGTTATTTAGTGACGCGAGGGGGACCCAGCGTCACTTAGTGCCGCTACCAAACCCTCGCGCCACTCATATTATTATTATTATTATTTTTTTTTTTTACTTTTTTCTATTGAGTGCCGCCTCCCTCCCTCGGAGCACTTATAGAATTGTGCCAAGTGGCACAATCTGGTTACTCCTATTACCGTAAAACTTCGGAAAGGCATAACTTTTGACTCGGGTATCCAAATCAGATGATTTTTTTTTTGATTTCACATAACTTTTTGAGATCTACGCAATGACATCTCATTTAACATATTTTATCTCTCACAAACATAATTCAAATCTGTAAAAAGGTGTAATTAGTGTTGCAAATTTGAACTATATTAATGAAAGGTAAAATATATCAAATGAGGTGTCATTGGGTAAATCTCGAAAAGTTATGTGAAATCAAAAAAAGAATCATCTGATTTGAATACCCGAGTCAAAAGTTATGACTTTCCGAAGTTTTACGGTAATAAGAGTAACCAGATTGTGCCACTTGGCACAATTCTGTGAGTGCCTCAGGGGAAGGGGGCGGCACTCAATAGAAAAAAGTAAAATAAAAAATAAAAAATTGAGAGTGACGCGAGGGGTTAGTAGCGGCACTCAGTGACGCTGGGTCCCCCTCGCGTCACTAAATAACCCTCGTTGATAAATACCTTGAATCATATACCAAATTGGTAAATTAAAAGAATAAAAACCCCTGATGGGTGAGTCCTAGTGGCCTAAAATAAGAATTACCATGTACTACAAAAAAAAAAAAAATCACATTGCTAAAGAGCGTTGATAATGTTGAATCAATGTTAACTTAATACACGGGAAGGCTGTACAAGTTATTAGATATCGTCAGGTAAATCCGTCCTTTAACTTTTTTTTTTTTTTTGGGTACACTCCTTTAACCTTTTTTCTAATTAACTCATGTTTGTTACGAATTAAACCTTTAACTTAACAAATCAACATTCTGTTTTTCTGATCTTAACTCTGTTGATATCACTAATAGATCAATCTTACATGGTTCTTAGATAAAAAAATGATGTTAGATATTTACTAAGTGGGGATGAAATTGAAAATAATGTTGTTTAGGGTATGTTAAAGAAGAAAGAAAAATCGAAGCAGTGATAGTGTTTTCTTCCTCACTAATTTGGTCAAATGCAACTCGATTTGCAAATAGCTAGGACATGTAATTTGGGTGGGAAAAAATTAACATGTTTTCAACAGTTTAACACCATTTTGATGCATTTTAATGCTTACTTCCCCATCCAATATTGTTTTAGGATCAATTTGGAGAATTTTTATGAAGAAATACGAGCAAAATTCGTATGATGCAAAAATTGAATTTACACTAATTAATAAATTTTTTCTCTACATATATAAAAGTGTGCAGCACTCAGCACATGAATCATTTGGTAATGAATTATTCTAACTTAGTCATTGGTTTTGAATGAATACCTCATAATGGAATTATGTTAAAAATTTTATAAAAAGAACTTTGCCACCTATATAATCCTATCTGACTAAAATTGGATTAATTGAGTAATTCCTTGATTAATTTAAATGTGAGCTGACATATGTTTTTGTTTTTTTCTAAGTTGAAGTTGTTTCAAATTGTTCTATGACCTAGTTTTATTAGAACTAGTTGTAAATGGTTTGAGTAGTTTATATGAGAATTTTCTTTTTATAGTTTTTGCAATTATAGCAACTTAAATATTGTTTAAAACAAAACTATGAAATCGTACACAATGAAAGTTATATTTTAAAAAAGATTAAATAACAAATCCGTTTAGTATACTCAGAAAATATTTAAGGAAGAAAAAAGTCATATGTTATCATATTTTGAATGAGTTGGACACTTTATTTAATTGTTAATATAATTAAATTTATTAAATGATATTGCGACGTGTTATTTAATGCAAAATTTATTTTACACCGGCAACACAGAAAAATTGAGCTAAAAAAATTCTAACAATAAGGGGATGACTTTATCATTCATTAATTTCAGATCTACTGGAGCCCGTAAATAACTTTATCCTTTTTAGTTACTTTTATTGAGAAATTATGTCATATATGTGATATAATATTTTTCAATTGTCAAAGACATTTTCCGTAAATACCATCAGGGATTTTTCTTTAGTACGAAATATTCAGGGTAGAAAATTTTGCCTCATTACTATGTCACACTTTTCAATGAAAATGAATTAAACTAATGACTTGTTTTGTCAACGATGTTCCTGTTAACTCTGATTAACATGGTTAAAAATATTTAATAAATAAAACAAGAATAATAAAAAATTATAAATGAAAGGTGAAAATTCAATATACTGCAAGGGGGAGTAAAGATACAACGCCGCTTTGGTCGTTTGTTGTTTGTACTTTATAGTTTAATTAAGGACAAACAAGGAAGGGAAGTTACGAGTTATAACTATGGAACGTGTGAATGAAGAAAGACACGTAACAACGTAACATAGAGACAACCAAGCATCACATGATTTTTTGTAAACTGTTAAGAGAAAAAGATGTTAATTTGGAAGTTGCAGGGAAAGACAAGAGATTGTCCATGCAATGTGCTGTTTAATTCATGGAATAGGTGGCTGGTGTGGTGGGACCTTTCATGTGGGTATTCTTCTATTCTATATTAATCTTTACTGTTGTTTACACCTTTGTCTGTATAGTGTTTCTGAGTGAATATGGATCAGCACTGTCGTAGAGAGATTCACCAAACTTATGTTCATACTAGGTGCTGATGGTTAGTATTATGATTGAATATATAATTTATTGCATAACTGGCAAAAAATATCTTGGTGGCTTTTTTTAACTACTTTATTATTGTTTGCTTCAATCACGCCAACTACCAGCTGCCATTCCACTGAAACACAAATTTGTTTATGAATTTAATTTTTTTTTCATATGATTATGTACAGCTTTATTAGTTCATTATTTAATTGACTAACTATATCATTGATAATTATTATACACATGGCTATAGATAAAGTAGCAGTATTTTATATTTAGGTGAAACACAAAGATGCAAATGAAAATACAAAATATTCTGAAAAAAAATGATGATATATGTCATTATTGAAAAATGGATAAATTAAAAAATCAAGTCATTCTCGACATCATGTATTCTATTATTTTATAAAAAACAACCAAATTTAGAAAGAAAGAATAAATTAAACTCTAATATAAAAATATTAAATTTCTTAATTTTAATTATAAGATAGAAAATAAAATTTTAACATAAAATTAAAAATTAAAAATATTAATTTTAGACTCATAAAGAAAAATTTACTTAAAAGAGAAAATTTAAGAATAATATTTTAGTATATATATAGCACCGTACAATGGATTTGTGTTTAAAAAAAAAGATTTGATGATTTTTTTTATTTAAAGAAAAGGTGTTAAAGAATAGTAAAATCATGTGGGTTATAGATAAAAATAGTAGAAAAGGAGATTATTTACTCTTAAAAGTAATAATTATATTTTAGTCTACGGAAGATGTTATATTTATAAATTTTTTGTTTACAAACTGTACTGTATCTGACTGGTCATATACTATTAATTGAAGTCTGATCGGTCATATTGAATATGATTTGTAAAATTTTTTTTTTATAAATATAACCTTTTCCTTTTAATGTATATAGCACCCGACCATGGATTTGTGTTTTTGTTACTTAAATTGACAGTTGAACTTTAGGTGTATCATGTAAGATTTTATTTTTATCTTTTGTCATATCAAGTAACTTTATTTGGAAGACTGTGCCTTTTCATCTTTTAGTGTGAATGTACAAAGTCTAAAACATAGAAAGAAGGGATCAAATAAATTTCATAATGTTGGGCTTTTACTTTCAGATTTTGTGGGCTGATTCTCGTCTGGGTTTCCACCAACGACCTGTTCCTTATTCGAAAAATAAAATATTCGGATACAAAAGCCCAGAAAGAGAGCGTATAATTTTCTTGTTTTACAAATATAAAAGAAAAAGAGACAATACAAGCTTACAGTGTTCAACAACACAATGCTTAATTTATAAACCCAGCCGTTATACTCACGATTATTTTATTTTATTTCGTACCACTTTATCTCATCTCATTCATTATTAAATATTCTAACATCAAAATATTTGACCTAATTCACTTTCAGTCTATTTTAGTCTAACTTATTGAAAAAACAAGTTAAACTTATATTTTAAAAAATTTAAATTTAATTAAATAAAAAAATTGTATGAAAGGCATACTTATAACTCATGTAAATTATAAAGAATAAAATTCAAATACTTTCCAGTTCGTTTTTTTTTTTTGGGTCTAAGTGCTCATAAATGCCGTTAAAAAATTATATAATTTATCTATTTTACACTTTTATAATAAATAAATTATTTTATAGCTTATCTCCCATATGATTCTTTTATCTGTCTGTGCTTTTTTATTATTACTTATAATTTTACTTGACTTGTAATAAATAGATTTACTACTTCAAATGGTCTAAAATAGTAAAATGGGAACATGATCCAGAAAATCTCATGTAGAGTTTTGAAAATAAAATCAGATCAAATGATTTTAACTTATTAAAAGAAAGATACTTTTAGAAAGTAAATGTATGTAAATTTTATTATATTATTATAAATTATGTATTTTTTTAAGTAATTATAATATTTTTTTATTATAATTAAAGTACTAAAACCATATTAAAATTTCAAACTATAAATATATATATATTACTTAGATATGTAGAATTGAAATTTCTAAGAAATCTAATAAGACAGACACAGCACTGTGAAAGATATGGTATAGCTTGTAAAATTAGGATGAGAGCATTGAGAGTGGTGCTTCAGCTTCACACTTTCTCAATTCGGGTTTCCTCTACGTACTTCTCCTCCTCCCTCTTTCTTCACGGTACTCTCTGAGTCTCTCTGTCTAAGCTTTGCATTTTCAATTCATTTTCATTACATGATGATTATTCCTGAATCAGAGACGTTGGTGATTCAGGGAATAGTTTGCGGAACAAAAGCTTATTATGGTTGGATGCAAATGCAACCTATACTGATAACTCTCGAGTCAGAAAGATATGGACTTCCACTCCTCTTTGTATGGGCAGGCGTTCCAGCAAAATTGCTGGTAGAAAGGTCACTCTTTTACTTCATCATTGAGTTTGCTTCTATGTTGTTAGTTCGGGTATGCATGCCACCTATTTGATGAAAATACTTAACACACGTGCCCTTACTTCAAACCCCATTTCTCAATATCCCAACTAGTATTAGTATGATTATGACTGTATGAGTATCTTCCTTGTGTCATTTTGATTTTATGTTGATCAATGAGACAACAATGTATGTGGATCCGGGTTGATGTCCTTGTTGTCTCTCTTGCTCCCTGATATTACTGTAATAGTGTAACGCATCTTTTTTTTCCCCTCTGAGGTCAACTTCAACTGAATTTGTATTAATCGTTAAAAGGAAAAAATACTTGGGGAAGGGTTGGACAGATATGATATGAAGGTGATATAGCTGTAAATTATTGTGATTGTTCACCCATAAAATGTGGTTATGGCCATTTTTTGAAAAGTTCTCCAACTATTTTTGAGTAAGGCTCAACGTCATTCTTTGGCTTTTAGTTGGGTTGCAGTTTGATACGAACGATTTTCCAATTATTGTGGTTCCTATTCTTTGAAATATTCTACATCCAAATTTTCATACTTGCCACAAATACAGGAAGCCCAAGATGCAAAGAAAGCAAAACTATACTCAAGGATTGGAAAGGAAGTTGTGTCTGCGTAAGTTTCTTCAACTAACCCGTAGCTTTTCATAGGCTAAGAGTATGGTGCATTTGTTATATCACCGTAATTCTTGGGCAAAGTTATTTTAAGGCAACACAGGTATTTAGCAAATCACCCTGCCAATGCCCGGGCTTTAGTCATCCTTTTATCTTCTTTAGGTTTTTCTTTAGTGCAGGACTGGCGCCCTATTTTCCCTAATCATATATTCTGTAATTCATATTGGTTCCAACTAGATGAGTTATATAATATCCTCTTTTCCTTTATTGATTAAGGAACCATATTATAACTTTCTTCTTACTGAATGACAGTGTAAAGAAAGGTGGTTCAAATGTGGCATCAAATTCAGTTTTGGCTGCTGTACTTGAGAAAGCCAAAGAGCTTGATGTGCCTAAAGATATTGTTGAGCGCAACATCAAGAAAGCTTCTGAGAAGGGACAAGAGGCTTATATTGAGAAAATCTATGAGGTTGGTGTAACATTACTCATGATTTGATTGCTAAGGGGAAGCAGATGGGTCTGGGTAATTTTGTAGGTCAAGTTCTGGGGTTAGGTAGTATAGTATGCACCTCATCTCATAACCAAATGTGTAATATATATTAAATAAGCATTATGTTGGTTTTTAAGAACTTAGTTGTTGTTTAACCATTATAAGCATGTTTGCATAGAATGTCAAGATGATATTTGCATTGAAGAACTTCATTCTTCACGGATTTGGATCATCTCCATTTTCTTAAGAATATGATAGTGTCATGTTTTGAGAGAGAAAGGCATAAATTTTCTTGTGTAGGGACACAACATTACGCAGAGTCTATCAATCTTACACAAAAGTAGTTTGTTCTTCCTCTCTTGTAAGATGACACTGTCAGGCTTTTTAAGGTAAAGGAAAGAAACCAAATCCATTCTGGGATAATGGGTATTGCAATTAACATTTGGTTGCCATTGCCATAATTAATTCTGGTGCCTTCATCATCTCAAGTATCTGTTTGGGCAGAATTAATTTACAACCCCATCCTCACTTTTAATATTAAAAAAATACTTTAAAATATATATATTTTTTAAATTAGCTACTAAAATAAATTTTACCTGATGCCATACATATGGGTCAGGATTATTTTACACCAGTATAAGTTACACTCTCAATCTCGATCATTTATTCTATTTATATTTAACGTCTCTAATTTATTAGATATGTGAGCCCTTAGATATAAGTATATTAATGGTTAAGATTGGAGGTGAAAGACTTCTTATTTTTATACCGCCGTAAGAATAACCTGCCTATACCCTATATATATATATATATATATATATATATATATATATATGTTAACCATTAATATGCTTACAACTAACGGCTCACATATCAAATAAATTAGAGCCGTTAGATATAAATAGAATCAATGGTCAAGATTGAGTGTATGACTTACACTGGTGTAAAATGATCTTTCTTGACTATATATATATATATATGGGGCAGGATATTCTTACACCGGTGTAAGAGTTAGAAGTCTTACACTCAATCTTGACTATTGATCCACTTGTATCCAATGACACACATTACTAAAAAATTTGAGCCCTTAGATATAAGTGAAATTAACGGAGAAGATTAAGAGTGTAACTTACACTGGTGTAAAATGATCCTGACCCATATATATATTACAAAATTAATTTTGGAAAACATTCCTGAACATAATAGTTATTGATCCAAATTTCAAAAGTAATTACTTCAGTATTAATTATTCTAAAATACATTTCCCTTCAAATAGATTCATCCCAGTTATCCAAACAAGCATTATGTTTGGCTGTTTGAGATGTTTAACAATTTTTAGGACAATTTTATTTGCTATTATTATTTGTTCAATTCTTAGATATAAGTTTTAAACAGGAATAAGGTAAACAGGTTTGGGTGCAGTGGAAAATAGCCCTGTTTGGGCTCAATTGGGTTAGTGGGTCTAGGTTACTAGATTGAGTATGGCCCCGGCCCAGTTGGAACGGGTCATTTTTCTGTTTGGGCCTTGCCTCGGCTACTATAGTACCCTATCCACCACCTACCAATGACTATCCCTTGGTGGTTTATATTTTTTGGAATTTGGTTCCTGGACTATTATTGTAACTCATCACCTTCTATATTTTACCCTTCAGGTATATGGTTATGGAGGAGCTAGTATGGTAGTTGAGGTATCAACTGATAAGATACATCGTTCTGTGGCAAAGATTAGAGAAGTGGTAAAGAACTATGGAGGAAAGATGGCAGATTCTGGGTCTGTGATGTTTAAGTTTAGACGGGTTCGGGTAGTAAATATTAAAGTCAGCAATGCTGACAAAGATCAGCTGCTTGCCATTGCTTTAGACGCTGGAGCTGAGGATGTAATTGAACCTCCAACTTATGAAGATGACACTGAAGAGGATATGTCAGAAAGGTAATGCTCTGATTTTTTTTTTAACTGACGAGTGAAGAATATATTGGCTAGTCTGAATAAAAGCATTACTTTTACATAATGTGGCTGACTTTGACAGGTCCGTGAATCTTAGATTGGTTTCATATGTGTGATCAATAATCAACATCCATGCAGCACATTATCCACGACCGAGTGTCCCAAAACCAACCCTAGCTTTAGAATACCTTGATTTGAGTAGTGAACTTTATGGATAAAGGTGGAATGATTATCTGCATTGAAACCCTAGCTTCTAATATTTGAAGCGAAGACTTCTCTAGTGCCTGTGGTCATTTTCCAAGTGCCATCTGCAGTTATTCTCATCTCATAATTATGAGGGCTGGCATGGCATAGAGGAAACACTGGTCTCTCTTATTCAAATAATTTGTTTTTGAAATAAAAGAAAATGTTAATAATTTGAATAGATGCTTATTTTTGTTAAATTTTTCTTGAATCTGACAAGCAAAATCAACATGAGAATTAGTTATAATTTAACAGCTGGATTTATGAAAATCATTTTCTTTTAAAAGTTATTGGATGGTATAAGTGACTAAGTGTATCAAAACTTACATTTGTGTCGAATTGGTTATCTGCCCAGGATATCCTATACATATATAGGGCAAGCATTTCTTACACCATGACATAATCTGTTATGGGGTTGGTTAATTTTGTAGTCCCACACGCTTAAATTAGTCTCCTTACTCTGTAGCTTTGGTAACTGTAATAATGGCTAAAATAAGTTCCAGCTTCCGCTGTTCTATTTGGTTATATCTTCACAACAAGAAGATTTGGATCTTCATCAATAGACCTACTAGGAATTGATTTTAATTCGCTTTGCCAGGTATTATAAAATTGTAGGTTCTTCAGAGAACTATTCATCTATACTATCGAAGCTGCGAGAGGATGGCATAAATTTTGAGCCTGATAATGGTTCTGAGCTTCTTCCAAATACCACGATTGAGGTTTGTTTTATTGGCTATTGCTATTACTATTGCATATTCATATCTTGGTGTTTCATTTTTCTTTTCTCCATAGCATACAAATGTTAACAAGCAAACGAGCCTAAAGGTGTTAAGTTTTAAATATTTCCATTACTGCACCAATTTTTTATTTTTTTTCCATTACCAGACAAACTTTTCCTTTTTACCGAAGCTTTCTTAGAGAGTATATCTAGTTTTTCCAACAGTTGTTTGCCATATTTACATGTTATAAACTACCTCTGTTATGCTTATCCTATGTCTTCATTTCCATTCTGTTGGGATAAAGGGAAAGAAAATTTTAAAAAATTACAGTGAAGTGAAAATCGAGGAGGAAATTTAAAACTTTTTACATTCATATTTTTTTTTCCCATTATTTTGTCTTCATCCAAGTGAGAATGTCTGGTTTCTCAAAAAGTCCTTTCCCTTTTGTGTTCCCTTCCTCAATCCAAATGGAGCATTGGTGAGGCACATTCTTGAGTTGGAAATTATTAGCCAAAGTTTCATGTTCTGAGAAATTCCGAATTTAATTGAAAATAATAAAGAACTGTATGTCCAGAGAAAATAAAAAGTACTGTTGATGTATAATGCCGCCACTCCTTATCCTCTAAATTAGCTCCATACGACACTGCCTTTGCACTTCTGGCATATGTGTAAATTAACTAACTAATGGACCTAAACAATTAAGGGAAGTAGATTCAATTCTATTTCTACCGTTTAATTTTTGTTTGGAAGGTGGGGACAGTGGTTGATACCCAATGATGGTCCTCAATAGTCAATACATATATATGTAATGTGAAACTTGCGTCACTTGACTCCATGGATACCAACATTATGTTCATGTTGTAGTTTTCTTTGTTGAGGGTTATTAGTTCTCTTTTCTACAATTTTATTCACCGATCAGATGGAAGTCGTTTCCCTGACAAGACTGGAGAAATCTCAATTCTCATTCTCTTCTTAAGTTATAGAATAAGAATTCATTAATTGTAGCCTTGAACTCTTGATGTGAATAGACAAATCTCAAGGCAATTAAATGCAGCCTCAAACCCACTTCATACTTTGTAAGGATGAGATCGTTCTTCCCATCAATTGTTTGAGCTTGTGTCTTTATTGTATATTGATGATGATTATAATGGTATTTAACTTCTGCATTCTACTCTGGAATGTAATTTTACTATTTTTCTACATAAAATAGGGATTGCCTATTCCTTTTTTTTTTAATAAAAACGAAAACAAGGTGCTGGGTAAAACGTGAGTCAGTACTTACTGTTGATTTTTCAGGTAGACGATGAGGCTATGGACTTGAACAAGGAACTTATGAGCAAATTACTTGAGCTTGATGACGTTGATGCTGTATATACTGACCAGAAATAGTCATTTTTTATATCTTTAAAAGCTGTTCAGCAAACAGCACAAGGTTTATCTTCGACACTGGGAGTTCATATCATAATCTGATCCTTTTTTTACTTGCGAGGGTTCCCAGAATCGTGCTTTCTGGGAAGGGAATTTCATTTGATTCGAAAGTGAGGATATTTAAATTATGTATTGCCTTAACTAACAAATTGACGAAGTACTTTGATCAGGGAGAGATTTCTTTGCAACTATCTCCTTGGATTTCTGTCTACATGATTGGTCTTTTAAGAAATATATTACGCATGAAGTTTCTAGTCAATTGAACTATATTAATATTCATATCTGCATGTAAACCAAGAAACAGAATATATAATAATGTCACTAGTGATTTTGGCGATACGTTTGAACAACCAAGATAGGAATTGGCTGTTGAAATACTCATGAGGGAAGACCATAAAGAGGAGTTGGTTTGTACGTAGTTATATATGGCGTAGCTCTAGATATTTCTCTGAAATGGTTAGAATGTTTGTATAATTAATTGCTAGTATCAAATTGGACTATCATGGATGATGGATCCGAGCATCAAGTTTTGAGAGATGCCTTATCCGAGTCCAGAAATCTCTTTTGGGTGATCCCAACATCTATCATCATTCTCTAGCCAGTGAATGCATTGACCAACGGTATTCAGTCAGATGATTGCGTAACCTTAATTATTTCTAACGATATACTTTTTGATCTTGTGTAAAAGGATTTTATTTCGAATAAGGATTGGTAATCACAGAACCAAGAAAAATAGAGATATTTTAATGGGATAATATAATATATGATGCATAATGCGAAAATGTTGTGGGAAGACGAATTCCACAACTGCAACCTTATCATACACATGCATACGTTATGGAATGCTATAAGCTTGCACTAATGCTTGCAAGTGGTCACATTGTGTCATTGTGTTCTCCGAGCAGGTTTCCAAATATGATTACAACACCAACGCATATCCTTACTGTTTTGGAACCCAGCATCCATGCAGCCCATATGGAAGTCCATAAGGGAACTTAGCCCTAGCAATCTCTTCAAAGGTGGAACCATCTAACACCAACGCATATCCTTCTCCATTTTTCTCACTGATTATGGAGATTACAACGCCTGACATATGACAGAAAGATAGGTTAGAAGTTGTATGCCAATTGTAATGGAGAACAAAAAGGGGATGAAAAAGAGCACAAAGCTTGAATTATATAAGAGTCTTCTTACCATCATCTTCCTCTGTTGCTCCTGGTCGAGCCACAAAGAATGGTTCCGAGGGCACAGCACCTTCTTCATACCAGTTCTTAGCCTTTTTCAATTCAAAATCAAGCTGCATATTACATATATACATTAAATCAAAACACGTTCAACTAATTAAGTATGTAGGGAACCAAAAAGATAAATGGGAGAGAAATTAAGAACTGAAATATGAAGCAAATTTGCCTTGGTGAGGGTGTTGGGAAAGTTACAAGGGCGCTCTGCTCCACAAGCATAGGCATATCTGTATTTCTTCCCTAAATTATTAGGGTTTATGCTGCACATGTCCATGCCTTTCCCATGTTCATTTGGGTCTAATGCTGCCTCTAATGTTCCATATGGACTTCCATCCAGTGGTATTTTGAACCGACCAACCCTTTTAATCAATAATCAATAAATTATGACTTTCCACTATTTTCATTCATAAAAAAGTTATATCACCTTTGAGGAAAGGCTAAGATAAAAAAAAGTAAGATATATCAATAATTACCTAGCATCAGGTAGAACATCTTCGCCATTAAATGAACGAAGGTTCTCTAACCTAAGCTTTTCAAGAATGGTAGTATCTGAATTGTGCTCACAGCAGTCAACAACAACTGCCGTCACCCTCCCATCTTCATCTTCCTCTTCATATGCATTTATGAAATGGAAAGTAACAAACAGAGGCACTTCCACACTTGCCACCTTAATTAGAAATCACAGTAATTAGAAAATATGGATTGAAAATTAACTAGTCAAACTAAAACACACAGCACATATGATAACATATATATATATCAGAGATTATATATATATATAACTTACAATGTTTCCGCTAGTCTTGCACATAACATGCATAAAACCTTTGGAGTCAGGGTGCCACTCAAACTTGTACAATGGTGTTGGTTCAGCCTTGAGCAAATTCTGAGCACAATACCTCAATGGCATTTCAGGCACAATAACATAATGCTCAGTAACAGGGAAAGAATGGACCCAACCGGGTGCTGGCCCGCCCCGACAATTGACCCGACCTATCACCTTCCTCTCATTGGTACCAGGTTCCATCCTCACAACAAGGTAACCTGGTTTCACTAGATCAGGTAACAACGTTAAAAACTCTTTATCTGTCACAATGGGGTGTGCAGAGTGAATAAGACCCCCCAAAGAGTCACTATACTCAAATTTTCCAAGTGTGTCCAATGTTTCAGGGTCTATCACTATGGACCCTTTTTGAGTCTCCGTCAGGCAAACCACCCTGCCATCACCGAGCTTCGTCACGCCGGTGTTTGCGTTGTCGGTGAGCGAGGCGCCGGAGAACAAGCTTGCAAGCTCCCCAACGTATGACAAGAAATTTGCAGCCTTAGGCACTTCAGAAAATTCACGGTAACATATCTTCTGGTTCTGTTTTGCAGCTTTGTAGGCTTGAGATTCGAGTTGCCGGTGGCCGGCGATTAACCGGCCGTTCTCGAAGTGAAGCTTCACCACCGTGGCGTACCCGTCAAAGAGGTGCCTGAAGTTGTAGTCCCCTATGTGCCACATGCCTGGGCCATTCCTTAGGTACGTTCCTTTCTGCATGTTATTATTCATATTTATTAATTACTCTAACGACATATAGCTTTTGTTTTTTTCTTTTTTTTTGGATAAGACAAAGCTTTACTATATATATACATGTTATTAATTATGTAGATGTATACATGTAATTTATAAATCGTGTCATAGCAAACAAAAATAACAAAACAAAAAAAATTATATTATATCGTTGTAGTTAACGAAATGATCGACCTGATCATGACGTTTGCGTATACGCATATAATGTATAAAATAATTATTAATGATGAGGATGCATTATTCAAAGATCACTTGATATTATGTATATTTATTATTTAATTATTCGAACATTAAATTAATGATATAAAGAAATATGCTCTGCTGGACCAACAAATCTATATTACGTGTAGATTCGGCGACTTTATTATTATAATTATTATTATTCATGTTCGTTGTAGCTCCTAAACAAAAGAAGATTTCTTTCTTTTTTTCCCACTTTGTATGCGTTTTTCTAGTTTTTTTATGAAAGTCAAGTATATATCAACGGGAGTCAATCCTGAGGTGAAATTTAATCAGAGGCTACTTATTAATATTTTATAATTATGATATAAATGGGTTAATTAATAAGTTAGGCTACGCTGAAATAATTAGTTTAAGGGGAAAAGGCTTCTCATGTTGCATGAGAAGTCTCTTCTCCTACCACTCTCACTTCGAGTTGGTACCAATTATTATTATTATTATTTTCTTTAAGGTGGACTCCATCCCTTTCTGTCTTTGTAGAGAAACTTGAATTTCTCATGTAACATGAGAAATTATAAGCCTATAGTTTAATTGGTAAAAAAAAAAGTTAAGAAATCTGGGTAGAGTAGGAATATACTGAGTATCGTGAGGATATATTGGATATTTAATATCTGTTGAATTCTAATCCAGCCCTCTTCCCATAGAATAAGAAATCATGTATTGGATAGAATAAAATGAGAGCTAATCATATCCTATCGATCCACCAAACAAGAAATGAAAGTAAGATATGATAAATTATCTTACCCTATCTTTTTTATCATCTCATGTAAAGATATTTGTTCCTGAAAAACATGAGAGTGTTGGAGAAAGACAAATAATTTGTGTAGGGTGACTTACAAGCCAGAGTGGTATTTGTCCTTGAACAAGTAACTCTCCTTGCCATCTCTCTTGGGGGATACTAGTCCATGCAACATGGTGCTGGCGGCCGCCGGTGGTCCCTGACGGTTCCTGCGGTGTTGGTGGCGGTGGAGCAGTCACAGGCAATGGACTTGCAACATTCGCAACGGTCAAGTCTTGAAGATTGCGCTGTCCTTTATAAATGGACGTCTTTTTTGGAAATGAAAACCCGTTCCTGACGTTATCAGACATATCAGAAACAACCATAGTTGGCAATGAAATGGAGTTTCTGAAAACTGAATTAAAGGATGCGAAGGCCATGGGGAAAAGCGGGTGTATGTAGTATAGAATAGTTATGGATTGAGAGAACAAGAGGAAAACAGAGATAGATGGTGTTTGCTTAGTAACGTTGGCGTTTTATAATGAGTGAGGAGTGATGAGTCGATCTAGTTTATAAGAAGCTATGGTTGCTGTTTGGAATCTTGGATTGGTGGAAATCCTTTTCACTACGAGACATGCGGCTTGTTTTTTCTTAGGCCTTTACTTCCCTACATTAACTTATAATTAATTATTGGAGATAATTTATTTCTGCTGAGTTCAAAACGATGTTGTTTTGGAACAAAAATTAATGTATTTTTGTAATTATAATATATTGCAAGGTTATATTAGTCTTTATTATTATAATTTTTTAATTTTATAACCTTAAAACGACATCGTTTTGAGTTTACTGAAAATAACTTTATCCGTGACCAAAGAAATATTTTTATTGATTTCACCAAGTGTCAGGAACACAGAACAATTAATATATGATACTGTAATTTTATACATTAGATAGAGATCGTCAAAAAATACAAAATTAAGACTTGCCAAGCTGTGTTTATTTCGATGAAATTTCTTGTTGCAAAAATAATGAAAGGGAATAAATATGTGTTTATAAATTATTTCATCACTTATAAAAAAAAATCTTACAAATATACGCGTGAAATATGTTTTCTCTTCTTTGTATAAATTCTCTTCTTTATATGGTATTTAAGATAAATGGATATTTATATTTTAAAATACGCATTCTTTTCTTTAGATAAATTATTTCTTTTATATGGTATTCAAGATAAATGGATATATATATTTTAGAATGCACGTTCTTTCTAGAATATATATATATAAATATGACATTTGAAATTTAAATTTACAATAAAGGAGGATAATTTTCTTATTGCATAAATCCCACAGACACCCCTATATATTTATGAAGTATAAATTACTACAATTTAAAAGGATACTCCTCTTTTTTTTTTTCGAAAAAAAAAGGTTATTCCTCTTGATCCCACTTATTCGGTACGCAAAAGATAATTTTCTTTTAAATTCTTATTCATAATGATAATTAATTTATAATTAATTCTAACATTTCTTCAGCTAAAAAATAATATTGTTTTATTGATTTTTTTAAAAATCAATTATTAAATTAGCTTTAAATTTTAAAGTATACCATTTTTATATAGTCAACATTAGAGAAATATGTTTTTTTTTAATTGAACTCTAATTACATATATATATATATATATATATATATATATATATACATTATAATATGATATGATACTTTTTATAATTAATTCACAATTTTTTCTGCTAAAAAAATAGTTTTTTTTTTTATAAAAAAATCCATTATTAAATTAACTTTAAATTTTGAAGTACACTTTTTTTTTTTTGAGTTTCCTTAAGGTATTTTTACTTGATAGCTGAAAATTAATGCATTTCAAGCATAGAGATTACCGAAGTAGATTTTCTCTACCAATAAAGTATTTTTTATATACACAACTAGTGATCAAATCTCTGTCAGTATATATAATGGACCCAACCACGTACCAACCGGTTAAGTACGCCGTTTTTATATAGGTAAGACTAAGGAAATATGTTTTTCAATTTAACTCTAATTGAATATATTTATATATATGGATAAAGATTATTTTACATTCATGTAGTTATATTCTAAATTTTAGTCGTTAATATTCTTTGTATCTAACGACTTTATTTTTAGTTATTTGAATTGTTGGATAGGTCAAAACTGAATGTTACACTTCTTCTTTTTTACACTTAGTTATATGAATAAGAAAATTAATAATTCAAGTCCAACTAAAACGCGTTGTCTCTTAAAATAAATTGTATCCTCTATATAATATTCAAGATAAATGGACAGATATATCTTAGAATACGCGTTCTCTACTTTAGATAAATTGTCTCCTTTATATATATGGTATTACAATAGAACCAATAATGGTTCCCGAGACGCGATATTTTCAAACTAGAAGAAGCCCTTCAACTCAGCGTTCTAGAATATATGCATAGATATAACATATGATTTTTATTTTTATTTTTAGGTTATAAGGAATTAAACACAACTCCATACACTACACACACAACCCACACCACTAGGCTAACCTTAGTGGTATAACATATGAAATTTAAATATACAATAAAGGAGGATAATTTTCTAATTGCACGAATGCCATGTAGACACCCCTATTTATGGAATATACAGGAATCACAAAAAAAAAAAAAAAGAAACCTCCGGTAAAATGCCCACCTACCCATAACCCAGCGGATAAAGTACATTACATAGTCCGTTTTAGGGATTGGCGACTTACCCATTCAATGACTTTGGCACAAGACGTTTCCAAAATCAAATGGGTATTGTACTCTCGGGTCGAGGGAATTCAATAATAGACAGCTGTTACCATTCCAACCTTCCTTCTCCTTTCAGGGCCTATCCGAAAAGAAAGAGAATTCAGTACTTCTTGGTCGTGAATATCTGAATAGGACAAACCGCCCTGTGGATCTCTTTGCTTCGGAACAAAACAATTCGAATTAGGCTCGGTCAACTGGAATGTGTATTATCGATATAGGAGATCTTTCAATTGAGAAGATCGATCGACCTGAGACGAAGAGAAAGAAAGGTCTATCTAAATGATTGTGATTTGAAACGATAAACCTATTGGCCCAACTTATTCGGTGCCTAAAAGAAAAAAAAAATAACTTCTTGTTCATAATGATAGTTGATTCATAATTAATTCTAACATTTCCTTTGCTATAAAATAATAATATTTTATTGATTTTTTTAAAAATCAATTATTAAATTAGATTTCAATTTTATAGCACGCCATTTTTATATGCCATTTTTATATGAAAAATACTACTCTCATTTTACATGAGGTAGTTATCTCATTTTCTCTTACTTCGAAAATCGTGCCCCTCCTTTTTTCTTTTTCTTTTTTGCTTTTAAATAGCGGGCCCTACTTAGATTCTCTCTGTAACATGAGAGAACTACTCTACTCTCATGTTACATGAGAGTAATACTACCCTTTTTATATAGGTAACACTACAGAAATATGTTTCTTTAATTGAACTGTGATTAATGAATGTACATAATATTTGATAATTTATTCATAATTAATTTTAATATAGATTTCTTCTGCTAAAAAAAAATATTTTGTTAATTTCTTAAAAATCAGTTATTAAATTAATTTTAAATTTTAAATTATTTAGGTAATCTATGTAGCATCGATACCGACACGGGACACGTGACACGATATGACACGACACTCCGACACGTTAATTCTAAAAAATGTTAAATTTCGATATGTTAGGACACGTTTTGATATTAAATAATATTTTTAATTTATCTAGTGTATATTATATTTAATATTCAATACTTTTTTTTAAAAAAATGATGTTAAACTTATAATACCAATCAATTTTGCAAAGAAACATAAGATATCTCAAATATTAATATTAAACTCAATAAAATGATAATCGTAATCCAACGAATCTAATAGGTGAAACTAAAAACGCAACGCAACCTTTGAACCGTTTTTTGAGTTTCTACAACGTGTATTGGAGTGTCAGAGGATCAGAGAGTGTTGGAAAGTGTGGACACAACACGTCAGGATTTTTGAAGTGTTGGTGCTTCATATATAGTAGGTAATAGCTAAAGAAATGTTTTTTGTAATTAAACTCTAATTTAATATATGGGTAAAAGATTTCTCTAGTCAATGGAGGTAAGTTATCCGATGAGCCTAAAACGATGCCATTTTGTGATAAAAATCAAAATATTTTTATAATTTTAATATATTACAGCGTTATATTAGTCTTTATCGTTATAATTTTTTAATCTTATAACTCCAAAACAACGTCGTTTTGAGCTCACTGGAGATAAGTTTATCTCTAGTGACCGAAAAAATACTTTTTCCTTAATGGGGTTAACATTTCTCCGGCCACTTGAGATGAGCTTATCTCAAGTTACCCTTTTTAAATATATCTTACTGTAAGACATAGTTATAATGTTAAAGTTATTTTTTTCTCTCCTTATTCACTTTTCAGAACTTGTCTGCTAACGTGGAGAGAGAGAGAAAACAATTTTAACGTTATAACTAGGAGTGTTCATCAACCGATTCAAACCGCGGTGACCGAACCGAAAAATCGATAACCGAAAAATCAAAAATCAAAAAATCAAAAACCGAAAAAAATCCACAAATTCTAATTGGATTTGATTGGTTGATGAAAACCGATCCAATATATTAATTTTTCTCTACCTACTTGGGTCTTTCCCCAATCATAGCCCAAAAATTCCTAAACCCAAGACCTATTAACCCATCAACTAAACCCAAGAAAAAATCTAGTCACATCTCATCAACAAAATTTAATCTATGTAGAGCTTCATATCTAATTGTCCAAAAAAAAATTATATTATAGTTTACTGATAGTATTTCAAAAAATAAATAAATTACTAAGTCAATATATACCAAAGAAGTTATTTGCACAATAATCATGAAACAAATTTTAGAATTTTTAAAAAATCGAAAACCGATCCAATCCAAACCGAAAAAAATTGGATTAGATCGGATTGGATTTGAAAAAAAAAATCAAACTAAATGGATGATTGCATGATCAAACCGAAGGTATTGGATTAGATGATTTTTGCTTTCAAAATTAATCCAATCCAGACCTCGAACACCCCTAGTTATAAATATGTCTTACCGGCAAAACATAATTAAAAGGGGTAGCTTGAGATAAGCTTATCTCAACTGGCGGGAGAAATATATATACATATATATATATATATATATATGAGAAAAATATTTCTCAAGCAACTTAAGATATATTTATCTTCGTCGAACCCAAAATTACCTCATTTTATTTATTTATTTATATTAATTGATTCATCTTTGAATGGTTAAGAATCTTGTGATTCACTTTTTCTCTCTCTTCCTTTATCACTATCGATTTATCTTTGTATAGTTATGATTTAGTAGACAGAAATAAAG